AAAGCAAACTTCCCCCCCCTTCCCTCCCTTATGCACACAGGGGGAGAGAGGGAGAAGGGGGGGGGGGGTTGTGATTTTTGTCGGCAATAAATTTGGAGCTTTGCCTTTTTCTGTCCTGGAAAGGGTTTTTCGGCCGCTTCTGCAAGATCGCTTTTGGCTGTCTGGGCTGCGTTTGAAATCGTTGGTCTTTGGGTCTAAAATACATGTGAGTTGACAAGCTCGCCGTTACCGCGAACGAATCTCGGCCTATTTATATTTCTGTTATCGAAATAAAGGGGGCAAAACGCGGTTCCCGACCCTCTGACAGCGATCGGAGGCAGGGAAGACGGGAAGACGCCCGAAAGGGCGAAAGAACGGACGGAAGGAAAAATAAAATAAAATAAAAGCCGCCGGAGGAGTTTGGTTTTCAAGCTGGAGCGGTTAAATACTTCCCGTGAAGTATACACTGGAAGGGCTCGATGCAACTCAAAAAATTTTTTTAAAAAAACCCAACCTGTCTACAAAATCAAATTTACAGAACGATCGCCCCCACGCGCCCCACTTTGCCCACCCGCGAACTGGAGCGATCATGCTCTCCTAACTACGTTTGTCGGGTTGCAATTGTGGATTTCCACGCGCCTGATGATACTCCCCGTACACAGTTGGACGCGGACTTTCAGTGGCCCGTGTGTTCCAGAATGTCCTGTTAAAATCGACAAGAACCAGATAATTTTTCTGAATATTAGAATGCTGTATTAAAATCTGGAATAAAGTACCAATCAATTCCACGTGCATTCGTGAGCTTCTGGAGAACTCACATTATGAATAGCTTAAATCTAACAGATCCAACAGAGACCTTAATGTAAATGGGTTCTGTATAGATGAAATTCATCATGAACTAGGAGAAAACCTGGATTTATGACTATTTGATAAAGTCGGCTTTAAGTGGAGTAAATCTGAATCTTGTGCCATGACTTTTATCTAATAAACACTAAGCTCGCCATCACCCCACCCTAAATAATCAGCAAAATTTGCCTCTTCTTTTTATGGTGCAGGCTTCTCCTTGCTCAGAGCCTGTGCGTTAACTTCTATCTTACCTCACTATACCTATCCAAGAGAAGTTGATGTGTTCAGAATTAGAATGAGAAGAACTAATTCTTGGATTAGTTACATTATCCTTGATTTAAAAACTAGTGGATTAGTTAAAACGATGAGTTGAAGGCTAATAATAAATTAGATTATACCACTAAAAGGCTACTTATATATTGAATTAATTCATATGAAATGTATTAAAATACTTAAGATTTGCTGTTCAAGACTACTGTAATACCGAAACTGGTGCCTGTTTACTTGCAAGTAAATGGCATAGAATTCAGTAAATCAGCTGACCATTGGCAATGTTTTGCACTGCCAAGCAAATCCCACTGAAATTAGCAATTAGGAACAGAAAAAGCAAAATGATTCTAGAAAACTCCTAAGCAGGTTGCTTAGAAAAATCAGGCATTCTGGCCCAGTGAAAGGGATTTCTTTCTGGCCTATTAGTTTTCTTATAGATCATTGTGATTTTGCACTGCAGTGGTAACACATTCACTACTACATTCTCATCAAGAAAAATCGGTTTGGTTCCCCTGAAATAAGTGTGTGAGCCACTATGTTTCGATCTGTGGCTTGGGGATCATCATCAATCATCAAATGAGAATACCTGCTAAAAAACGAGATTGTTACAAATTGCTATTGTTAGTACACTACGCCTAATATGAAGAATTAATTTAATTAATAGTGAATGTGTGAGATAAGGATTGGAGAGAACTCTGTTTAAATTCCTGCTGAATGTCACCGAAAATTATAGGCTCTCATTCAGGTTATTGGGATTCAACGGCAATGAAATTTTTGCATGGTTGCTATGTAAATAAAGTACATAGCTCTGCCCATGTAATTAAAAAAGAAGAGTTTCACACAAATTCATATTTACCATTTAGTATAATGGCCTGCTGCATAGGGATGATGAAGGGTACTTGCACACCACAGGGGTTGGAAAAAGTTGCTGTTTGGATTGCAAAGTTAATCATGGTGGCTTTGCTTCATTGTAAATGTATTGCTCCTACTGATCTCTTTATGTTTTTATTGCAGTTCTTTTTGATTGCTTTATCTACTAGCTTGTTATTCTTGTTGTGTTTTTTTTGATGCATTGTTGGCTTGTTTTTATTGTGTTTCATTAGCAGCTTTCAACCAGACAAGGAGCATTGCCCTTTAACCATTTTAAAGAACATATATTTACACAGTAGTATTACAATTCTGCCATCTATACATGTCTATTCAAATTTAAGCCATCAAATGAGCTTAAACCATTCCGTATACTTTACCTGCACATTAATCCAGGAATCCTTATAATAACTTTGTGAGATAGACCAGGGATTTATCTGGTTCACACCTCAGCCTCTTAGGCACCAGAGGGTTTTAGTTCTTTTGGTCAATTTGCTCATTCTAGTTGGGTTCACACATGCTGTTCTGATGGCTTGGAATGAGGAGATTCCAATTCACCCTTTCAAATCCTAGCCCAGTTGAATCCTATTTAAACAGGACATGAAAGAAAGTGAAAACTTGTGCAGTTTGTTCACTGAAAGGAATAACAATAATAAGAGTTTGTATTTCCAACATTCATATTAAAATGCTTTTATTGGGGTTTACTGAACGTGTGGTTTGATTGCTATGAACCGTGCAGTCATATGTGGTTTTGCTATTCTTGTAACCTGCTTTGGATGTTATGGTTGCAAAGAAACATAAATATTTGTACAATTCTTTTCAATTAGGCGATGGGACAATTTCTCCTAGAAAGCCAAGGTTTGAACAGAGCAGCTCCTGTCCTTACCATGTGACTGCTGGCCTCATCTGCTTCTAACGTGGGAAATTCCTTTTTGCAAGTTGCATAAATGAACTCTTTTCTCCAGTTCTTCTCTCATCCCCTTTCAAAACTGTAGATGAGAATGGATATTATGGTAAAAGATGGTAAGATCTACTTTTTTTTTATGTGTGTGAAAATATCAATTTCACTGGATTGTATCCCCCCCTCCCTACACACTTCTCCTATTAAAACAGTTGGGAGAAAGGTGTGTGTGTCTTCTTCCTTTGCACTATTTGGGATTTTACAAATTGAAACTATGTCATAATAATTGTTATTATTATGATTTCAATTCATAATTGTCTTTCTGCAGGGAAGATGCTGCAATTCCACTATTGATCAGCTTTCCTTTAATTGAAACTAAACTTTAAATAAAAAGATTCCTGTGCTTTGATCAAATTCTGCAGTATCACACATCAATCAGGCACCCACTCCCTGAAAATGATAGGGAAACTGAGTACAGAACCAGGAAGGAGAAGTTCCCATTCCCGAGTACTTCAACAGGTGAGAAAGAGAAAAATACTTGTTTACCTATGCCCTGATCCATTTTGGTTTCTCTTGAAAAGGCAGACATATACACCCTTGCAGTTATCCTGCTGGCCTGATCTCAGCAACTGAGAGTGAGTTGGTTAAAGCAACCAGTTGTGGGAGGCCTGATCAAGTATTGCAGGAGGATAGAAGGGCTGCTCAGCAAACAAAAGAAGAGTGCAACCCGAAGGGTGTCTATTCAGGGGTCAGTTCCACTAAATTCAGTGAGGCTAAATATTTCAGATAAGTAGATGTAAGACTGTTGGCCTAAGGTTTCATATATCACTGCACACTAATTTGGCTATAATCCTACTGAGCAGAGTCAGACGCATTTCACAGAGAAATACAGAGAACAGGCAGGTTTTCTAGTTTCCCCTCTATGACTAGCTATGCTAGGATTCTGAGATCTCTCCATCCCACCATCCTCCCCATTTGGTACAGCATCTTCTGAATGGAGCCCCAAAGCAACAAGGACAGCATGGGATTCTGTAGACAAACACGGGGCTAACCATCTCAGCCTCCTGGCTGCTTCCAGTGCAAAATGAACCTTATTTTATTTGGGAAATGTATTTTATTGGGGAAATTTATATAGCCACCCACTCGCTCACAGCGAAGTGCCTCTGGGCGGCTTGCAGGCAGTAAAAAATACAGTATAAAAAATAAATAAATAAATAAATAAATAAATAAATAAATAAATAAATAAATAAAATAATACCATCATCACCCCACCACCCCCAGCGACAACACACAGTCAGATGGGCCAGTTGATGGGCTTTTTGGCTGCAGCATGCGGGAAATTGTCCCGCAATGTCCCTGTGCTTGAGAGGGCAGCGTCCCACTCGCATGACCCTCGACCCGCCCGAAGAACGCCCCGCAGCGCTCCTTTCACCACGTTTTGTCCTGGACGCCCACGGGTAGCTGTCACTACTTGAGGCGTCACTCGGCTGGGCTCTTCTAAGGCGGATAAAACTTGGCAGCGGGGCTCGCCCGCTCTTCTTCCCGACGGTATAACCCCTCCCGGTTCCTGCCTGCCCTGGGCCAGGCCCCTCCCTCCGCAAGCCCTCTCAGCAAAGCCCTGTGGGTTTGCTGCGCCCCTGGCATTCTCAAGAGAGGCTGCTCGGGCAAGCTTGTCTCCACCCGTCCCTTTAGGGCACGACAGCTGGAAGGGAGTGCCGGCGGACGGCTACTCAGCTTGCACAGAGAGAGAGAGAGAGAGAGAAGAGAGCGCAAGCAGCTCCAGAGTCCCTGCCGCGGCTGGGATAACTCGCCTCCTGGCTGGGCAAGGTGCGCCCGCAGCTCTTCCAGAGGCGGTGAAAGAAGCGGGGATCGCAGGTCTCCCTACGAGCGTTCCCGAAGCGCCTCCTTGGAGGAGCGGCGTCTAAAGGAGAGGTCGGCTTGTTTTGTCGTCCCACCGCCTCTATCCATCGCAGGAACCCGGCAGGTGTTTCAGGACCGCTTCTCACCTCCCGAATCCAGTAGCCCCACACGACCCTTCGCTTGAGCCGGTAAGCCATGGAAGGTCTGAAGGCGCGTTGTCCTGCCGGTCCTCGAAGATCGGCTTCGTTTTAGGTCTGCCGGGCATCACAGAGTCAGCCCGCCCAGGAGGTTGAAAGTCTTGGGGGTCATCATAGCCCTAGATTTCTCCCAGAAGTTCTCAAGCTCCAGCACCCAAACGCAGAAGACTCCGAAGCTGCTCTCTTCGCAATCCCACCGGCATTCGCGCTCCTAGATCCTTGCCAGAGCGGGACCGAGGGTGCTTCGAAGATACCCCTTCGGACGTCAGCCAGGAACAGCGAGGCTGGCGCACCCCAGTCCTCAAAGTTGCCCGTTGATTGCCTGCAACCTGCATCGCCGTCGGAGGCGGAGATAGAGCCTGGGATGACGGCCGAAAGCCCTCAACCGACGGGTTGCGCGGTGAGCCGGCCCGACGCCGAAGCCGAAGCCGCCTCTAGGCTTCCCGCGCTGGTGAAGATGGAGCCGGCACCCCCCGGAGAGGCCCTGGAGCCGGAGCCGTCGGAAGAAGACGTGATGGGAGGTTCGCGGCCTATCGGGCGCCGCAGGAAACGGCCGGTCCAGCGCGGGAAACCCCCGTACAGCTACATCGCGCTCATCGCCATGGCCATCGCGCACTCTCCGGAGCGCCGCTTGACCCTGGGCGGCATCTACCGCTTCATCACCGAACGCTTCCCCTTCTACCGCGACGGGCCTCGCAAGTGGCAGAACAGCATCCGCCACAACCTCACGCTCAACGACTGCTTCGTTAAGGTGCCCCGAGAGCCCGGCCGGCCGGGCAAAGGCAGCTATTGGGCCCTCGACCCCCACGCCCGAGACATGTTCGAGAGCGGCAGCTTCTTGCGCCGCAGGAAGCGCTTCAAGCGCAGCGACCTTTCCACTTATCCGGCCTACATGCACGAGGCGCCGGCCCAGCCCGTGGGGCCTTCCCTGAGCTCGGCCTACGCCCCTCCTGCTGCTCTCTGCTATCCTTCCCAGCCGCCCCTTTTCAGCCTGGGGCCCCTTATGGCCCAGCCAAGCCCGGAGCTGGTGCAGCAGCATAGCCTGGACATAAACACTTCTCCCGGCAATGCCTGCTCCTTTGCTGGGTCCGCAGCTTACTCCAACCAGGCCTGCACCTCAGCCTCTGGCCTAGGCAGGGCCCACAACACCATGCCTTACTCTTATGCCATCCCCAGTGCCCAGCAGCTCCAGGTTAACCAAGGCTCTTATTCCCAGAGCAGCAACAGTAACCTCTTTGGGGCTTCTGCCCGTCTAGGAGTACCTACCTCACCCCCCATCACTAATGACAGCATGGATTTCTATGGTAGGATGTCGCCTAGCTCCTACAGCTCTTTGGCTCACGGGTACAATGCCAGTGGGCAGCTCAGCAGTCCCGGAGCCTACCTGCGCCACACCTCTTACCCCAGTAATATGGAAAGGTTCGTTTCGGCCATCTGAAGCCAAGGAGGAACTTGGTTGGGGGAAAAAGAGAGCAAGGCAGGGCAGGGGGAGGGTGAGACCTCCGGTTATATTATCTTCCCCTTTGGGCTTAGATTACCATCACGAGCACGTTACCCTGCACTGGCAGAAGGGTTGTGTTCATTCGGTGCGCCTGCACATCGATATGCCAATCGGCGCCATTATTTAAGTCTGTAAGAGGAACAGGACAATGGAGGTGTCCACAGTACAAGGCTGATGTAAAGATTTAACTTTGTGAAGTGAATGCACTATACAGGATGAAGCTAATGACTCTGCTGCGTAGGTGTGGCTGTTGAGAAGACACAGGGGACCCTTTCGTGCTGTGAGCTATGAAACGCACCACCTGTCAAAACCAAAGGCAATGCAACATATTAGACCTTTTTGTGTGCTTTTCCATTCCTGTTAACTCTCCTCCACTTTTTCTTTTGTGAGCTCCCTCTTTATAAAATAATCTGTTGTAGCAGTAGCCTCAATAAGTAGTAAGCTTTTTCTTTTTCATTTTTTTTACCTAGCCCAATTATTAGCAATATTATGAATAACTAGTAGGTGTATGCTTAATACCCTCGATGTCAAGTTTTCAGTGACTCACAAGTTCATTTGGAGAAATAAATGTGGAGTCAATGATTCACCCTTCTGTTTGAATGCTTTCTGCTGGCTTTGGAAATGCAATAAATAACCTTTGAAACTGATTTTCTTGGAAAGTTCTGATTTGTAGTTGATTATTTTCAGTTAGATAGCTTGTGTTGCAGAGCATAAAGGAACTTGCCTCCACACTTCAGTGCACGTATTGTTCATCCACTCAAGTCAGATTTATTTTCATTTTTGTTGGTTGTAAAAATGTATGCTTAGCAGCTGTACAGTCAGCTATATAATCAGGAAGGAGTACATTTGCTAATGGCTTATACATAAGATATAAGAAAACGTGAAATTCACTCCCTAGAAAGAAGACATTTATTCATATTCGGTAAATTCCCTGCTTTTAAAATTCAGCTTCAATTATTGCTGCTGAGAAATACATACTGTATTCAAAATATAAAAGTTATTGTATATTTTCTGATTAGTTAAGAATAACACAGTATTCAAATGATTCACCCAAAAAGGCAATTCTATTTTTTTCAAAATGATGCTTTTTACCAAGGGTTTTTTTTTTTTTTTGAGGTCTTCTACTCACTCTGCTTTATTTATCTGTCATAACAATCAAGACTTTGATATTGTTATACTAGTAGTTGAGGCAGAAATGCAAGGAAAAGAAACATTTGCTGTAAAATGAATGGCTAAATCCATATAATTTACTACTGTACATTATTATTAAAAGTAAAATCAGTAAAATTCTGTAGGTTATCGTCTTGCAATCCTGGATCAAAAAACTAGCTTTTTAATAAGAATCATAGGGATCAGGACTCCCATTAGCTGAAAGTTGTTCAAAATCCAAACAAGACTAATACCACACGTCCCTATAAATCGCATAGTACAACCATAGTACAACGGCTGTACCATTTCAGACTTCAGGAATAGAGAGATTAACTTATTATAAATGAGTTATTGCAAATTCAGGGTAATAACAGATTAAATAAATAAGCAAACATTTGAATATTTACACAAATGTAAAAGCTGCAAGAAATCTTAAGCTTTGTTAAGTTAGAAAGTTCTAATGAGTCTTTCCTTAATGTTCTATGTATAGGAAGTTCTTAACACAGAAAACATTTAAAATTCAATTTCTATTGACATGCACCTATAGTTTTGAAATGAATTTTGGACCATAACATTCATATGATTCACATGCAGAGTTTGAGTCAGATGGTATAGACAGTCATTCCTTCAGGATGATAAATTTGAGTAACTGGGTTAGACTAAGAGTGTCATAATTCAGCATTCTTTAAGAAATAGTGGCTAATTAGGTTCCTCTGGATACTTAGAAGAAGGGCACGAAATTCAGCGTATTCTTGCTATTGTTTGTTCCCAGCATTTGTATAGATTTTCTAAGGTAAAGCATTTATGAAAATGGATTTCATTTAGTAAAAACCCTAGAGAGAAACATCATCTGTGTAATGTGTCTAATTTTTTTTTGAAGTTAGCGGTTCCCACCAGTAATTTGGATAGCACTTGTTTTTCATATGTTAATTCTATGTTCAGTATAGAAACCGAATTAATTTGGTAAAAGGAGAAAAAGGGTGGGAATTGCTTGAATTTATTGCCAGTTCTATACAGCTGAGATGAAGATACTTTCTTCAACCACAGACCAATTGATACCTCTTTTATTCAATTGCATTTCTGGCTTTGTTGTCCAAGCAATGTGCAAAGGTGTACAAAGGAGTTCTGGAATTCTGTTTTATATAAGAATTTTGAAAACTTTCTTTTTGCTAAAATACTATCAGATTCTGTACCAACAAATTACATCTCCCAAGCAACCTTGAATGTTCTTGTAGCCTTCAAACAATTCTTGCTCTGTTCTTTGGCTTGTCTTTTTCGCAGTATTTTCAGCCCTGCATCTATTTATATGTATGCCTCTACCTGGAAAAGACAGAAAGAACCCAAGACAAAAGGATAATGATCTACTAAGTGAGGTAGCCTTTGTCCAAGGCTTTATGTGTGGCTCAAGATGGACACTAAATTAAATATGTTGCTACTCCCATAGTCCTATTTTTAATTTTTCATTAGTACTAGGTGAATTGATTTGTGTTAAAAATAATGCTGTGCAGGTGTAAATTTTACAGCCAAACGGCATAGTAAAAAGGATTGAATTTTCCTCCTTACGCTGCAAGATGGGAGAACAGTTGCAGTTTACATTCTTCATCTATTGTGTATTTTGTCTCTAGTATTTTAAGTTTTCTATAACAAAAAAATCTGCAGTTTGTTTCCCTGTGGCATGCAAATACCATGTTTCCCCAAAAATAAGACCCTGTCTTATATTTTTTTGAATACTGAAATAAGCACTTGGCCTTATTGCCATGTGCTCAAAAGCCCAATTGGGCTTATTATCAGGGGATGTCTTATTTTGGGGTAAGCAAACTATTTTAGTTATTTTAAAGTCAGTTTGAGAAAGAATTCCACTGGGATAATTTAGACCGCAGTAAATTATATTGTATTCCATTCATTTAATAATTTGTAAAACATTGAAAAGATCTTTTGATGAGGTTTGAATCTTAGGGAAGCAATCCATTTTTTTATCAGAGCTCATTATGCAAGCATAGACTTTTCTGCTAAAGAGCCCATATAACGTGAGAGGCGATCTGGAGAATGCTTTGATGCACGGATTCCATCCATACAGAATGGTGAGCAGTGATGGGCCAAACTATTTTATCACATGAACTAGGAAGTCCCTGAATAATGATGTTTATTGCAGATGAAAAACAGCAGGGAGGGGGAGAAGTTGTTCTTAGACGGATGTTTCTGCTTTTTCTAGTCTACAGGAACATTCCCGTCCATTCCCCAGAACAATTGGAAAACTACTGCACTAAAATAAAAATGAACAAAAAGCGGAATGAACCAAGGCAGAGGTAGACAGAAAGCAGACTCAGACTTGCTGAAATCTTGGGTAATTGATAATAGATCTGTAAAGGTTTTTGAATCCCACCCAATTAACCAAAGCCTTTTTCCTTCTGTAAATTAGGCTGCCAAAATTAAAAAAGAAAAGAAAAGAAGAAGGAAGGAGCACCAGATTAAATTTTAGTAATGGAAGCATCACCTTGATTTCTGCTTTGTGCTCTAAGGTTAGAATGCTCCTTAAATTTGCTACGTGGGTGCTTGACTTCTGCAACTCTTTTAAATTAAATTACCTTGCATCGGTAATTTAAAAATGTAGAAATTTGAAGTTTGTTCTCTGCAGTAAAACCTAAAAATCAGTATTATTTAGGTCACTTCTTTGTATAATCCGTGCTAGCTTGAAAGGGGGCCTCAATTTCAGTTCTCCATGATATCAGCATCAAGGAAAAGCTGTTCCCAGTTCAGATATGGTTTAATTGAAACCTCAACAAGGGCAGGTATTATTAAGTCAGCATTAACAGTTAATGTTGCCTTTAGATGCTGTAACTCCATGTCACCATTGGATGGAACTCTTGTCTCATTCTTTTTCCTGGCTCCCGAGTTTCAGGTCCCTCGAGGTTAATGCTGGTTTAATAATTTAGCAGCTTTCCTTCAATAGTGGAAAGAACAGAAGTAAAACCAGCAAGAATTTATTTCCACATTCACTTCATTAGGAGACAAGTTCTACTAGGCTCCTGGCCTTTTTTTTTTCTTTCTTTAACTCCTTTTGTAGGGAGTGGAGATGCATTGAGAGGAGCAAGATTGTTGTAGGACCTCCAGTTGCTCAAGTCAAGGCAGCAATTTTCTAGGCTTGTTCTTGGTACAAAGACAATTGTGGATCATAGAAATATGCAAAACATTTCAAATTCATAAAATATATATTGATTTATTAGTTTCCTAAACCATTCACTACCAAAGTCTCTGAAGGGTATACAGAAAGCAAACATACTAAGACAAGAAATTCCGCAATAAATTGACTTAATTATTGTCAATAGTAATTATTTTTTTACTATTATTTACTTACTATTTGTAATTATAATAATTATTTACTATTATTATTGTTGTAATTATTTACTATTGTCAATAGTAATTATTTTAAACATTTCCAAAGCTCCAGATCCATCTGTTTCAAACGCTGACCATGGATTGCCTTCAAGCTACTTTTAAGAGTTGTGAAGTAAAAATGTCGATAGTGTAAGGAGTTTCACTAGCCTATATTTCTTTTTATTATTATCAGGCGAAATCAGCAAAGCAGGAGATGTGTGTAATTATATTACTCTGCATAGGTACATATGGACTACTCAGTCCCTGTTACGGGCTCCACATGCATGGTCTCAAACACATACTTTATATATAAAAGGAAAAAGAAGACTATAGGGCTAAAACCCATTGTCCTTATATAGAGATTGTTCTAAACAGAGAATTCCAAGTGCTTTCGGTCTAAAGACATCCTACAGTAGTTTGACTTTTCCCCCTCAGTGGATTATTTGAAAATAATAATTGTGGGAAATGACAGAAGTATATAAATTGGTGGAGTTGCTTCTGAGATGGGCCTAAAAACTTGCATGAATGAGAGAGAATAATTGTTTTATTGTTTCCTGGTTAATTCTGTGAAGGGATTAAAAAGAAAAAAAAACAGTGGTGCATTCAGTCATGTAGGTCCCATCTTCAGTACACAATGGTGTAGCACAAACATTCACGTCCTCAATGACTACTAATAAGGAACATGAGGAGAAAAAAAATGTTGGGAAGGTATCTGTCTTTGCCTGTTATTATTCATCTTTGTTCTTCCCTGTTCTAACGCATTACTTATAAGCAGACGAAGCACCTGTAGATGGATGCAAAATGCCTCCTTCTAGACCTTTCCAGTGTGAAGAAGGCTGATGGTTGCTATCTGGCAGAGGCATTCTGCTTGTCTCTATTTCAAAGTTTCCCAGCCTGGAGCTACACAATGTCTTGGATGATAGTTACCCTTGTCCTCCATCATCATGGTTGAAGATAATGATCCATCCAGGCTAAGACATGTTAAAGATACTAGATGAAGAAGCTACTTCATTTGAACATAGGTCAGTAAACCCAACATTTAAAAAAATACAAAATCCCCTGTGCTGAATCCTCCAAAGGAAGACACACTCACAGGGTATTTCAAAAAGAAGAAATTGCAGGA